ATGTCTTCACCAAATACAGCTGAATAGAAATTCTTCTTAAATAGTTCGTCTAATAAAAAATCAAATGCTGATAATTCAATAACTTCTTCATATTCTTTAGATAAAAATATTATTAAAAAAGTATATATAAAAATATATAATTAATAAAAATAATTAATTATATAAACATATAATTATATAAATATATAAATATATAAATATATAAATATATATATATATATATTTATTTTTTTTTTTTTCAAAATAAATAAAAGCTTTGTTTAATTATGTGTGTTGAAAGCCATGAAAAACTAATTTCTGTAGCATAAAAATATGAAAAATGCATTTAAACAGTATTTTTTTATAAAAAAAAAAATATTGTTTTACAATAATTTTATTTTATTTTATATTCTAATAATTTAAAGATTCCAAAATTAGAATAATTTATTTAATAAGTTTGCAATATTGTTATGCCATTAGGAAATTACAATAAATCTCCTTAGGTTATGTAAACTATACTTTAAATTTTGAATGTATGGAAAGAAGAAAGAATTAATAAAGATAATTAAAATGACATTATTAAAAATATTTAAAATACAAATAATAATAAAGAAATTAATAATTAGTTTGAAGGTTTTTCAACAAATAATTATTTAAATAATAATTAGTATTAAAACTAAAATAAATAGTTTAAAGATTATTAAAATGTAAATATATAAAATTTTAAGAAATTACATATATTATTATTATTATTATTATCATATTATTATTATTATTATTATATGTATATGTATATGTATATGTATATGTATATATTTAATATAATTTATTTAGTTTTACGAATAATGTACTTAAATTTTTGAATTAAATTCTAATAATAATCCTATTTAAAAATTATTTTAATTTAGAGCTATATATGAAGAAAACTATATTTTTATAAAGGTATTTTTTTTATAATTATTTATTTTACTATTAATATAATTTTAGAATATTAAGAAAATATTAGAATTAGATCCACATTTAAAAAATGATAATGCTTTTAAATAGATAATGGAAAAAATTAATAGTCTTTAATTATATAAAAAGTTTGTTTAAAATTTGTAAAAATTAACTGGTATTTATGATATAAATAAGCTTTTTATTCATTTTGAAATGTAAAACAATTTTTTTAGATTTTTTATTTTTTAAAAAAAGTATACTTAAGAATTTCAAATAATGATTTTATATTAAATATAAAAATATAATTTAATCTAAAAAAAATTTTGCAATAATAATTTATATCTAATAATCTTATTTTCATTAATTTATAAATCAATTTAATATTAAAAAAAAATTAATTTATTTTTTATTTATTTTAACATTTAAAATGAAAAATAATAATAATTTTATATTTTTTTTTAAATTGCAAATAATTTATATTTTATCATATTTAATTTAATATTTAATATATCTAATCATATGATCTTTACTAATTAATTTTTATTTTTAGTTTTAGTATATTTTTTATATTTATTGTTATTATATAAAAACAAAATTATAAATTTATTTTTTATATTATTTTCATTAATTTAAAAAAAAAAATTAGAAATATAATAAAAATATAAAAAATTATTCCAGTAAATAATACTCAAATTTTTAGATATTACTTTTTAATCAAATAAGCAATTTAAAAATATATAATTAATTATAATATGTAAAAATGAATATATAAAAAATTATTCAGATAATAATAAAAACTAAAAATAATTTAATATTTAATATAAAAAATTAATTAATATATTTAGGTATTATAATAAAATATTTGAATTTAAAATTATTATATTTAATAAATTAAAGAATTTTTAAATTATTTAAAATACTATTTATATAAATAAATAAAGCAAATGCGTTTTTATTTATAACAAATATCTTTATATAATTAAAAAAAATAGCCAAAAGTAAAAATATACTAGTATAACTGATTCTGAATTAGATAATAAAAATATGTATTTAGTTTTTTAGTAAAGAAAATATTTAATTAGTTTAATATAATTTTGAATAATTAAATAAATTATAATAAAATGTTTTAATTATTAAAATATATTATTGAAAAAAATAAGTTATATCATAGTTTTATTGATATAAAAATATTTTTATATAAATATTAATTTATTATAAATAATTTATGAATTAATTTATATAATTATAATAAACATTAATATAATAAGCATTTTTTTTTATTATAATAGTTATCATATTTAATTATATTTATATCTTCAATAATTAGTTTTTATAATATTTAATTACATTAAATATTAAAATTTTCAATTCAAAACAAATATTAAATATAATAAGTTATCTATCGACTAAAAATGTTAATAATTAGAATTATATAATAAGAAAAATATGTTTACCAAAAATTTTGAAATTTATTAAATCGGTTATTCGAAAGGTTTTATAAAAAAAAAAAACATTAAAATAAAATCTTTAATAATAAATAAAACCTAATAAAAGACAATTAATTATTTTTATTATAATATTCGTATAAATAGCTATTAAAATTAAATAATAAAAATTATAATAAATAATAGACATATGCTACTTATAATATTTGAATTAATTTTAAAGAATTAAAAGAGAATATTTGACATGTATTGATTAGATACTTGAAGGGAAAAATTTTAAATTTGTAGTGAGTTGATTTTTTTACTGGCAAATTTAAAATTTTTTTTTTTTTGATAAATTTATAAAGGAAGAGTAGTTTATAATTAAAAAAGTTTATTAAAAAATACAAAAATATAAAAATTTGACAATTGAGTAATTTATTATTGGTATATAATTTATATAAATAAAATGTGAATAATTAAAATGATTTACAAGTATATTTTTATGAAAAATTTAATTTTGTTGATTAATAATTTATATATGTTTAAAATATTTTTAATTAAAAATATTTAATAAATTCATCTTTAATATTAAATTGAAAAAAATAATAGCGCCAAATCGAATCAAGAAATTATTTTGTAAATGCTTAATTAAGAGTTATACTTAAATTTGTTAAAGTTATTTGTTTATAAATAATGCTCTTATTAAAATAAAATGCAAAAATACATATAACAAAATTAAAATAGAGTAAATAGTATAAACATAAATCAATTATGTTTTTTAAAAAATTTGTATTAAAATAAACAAATTTAAGGAAAAAAAAAGAGATATATTTGATTAATATATTAAAATATATATTTAAATAAATATTATTATACATAAATAATATTTTAAATATAAATGAATTTTTAGTATTGTATATAAATAAATATTATATTTAATATAATAAAAGTAAAACATTATTATTTATTATTAACACATAAAAAAAATATAATTATTAGTAAATTTTATATAAATATATTAAATATAAAAATCATTCAAATTATAAATAATTTATTATATCTTATGAATATGTAGTTAAATTATTTATTTTCTCAAAATTTTACCAAGGACAAAAGAGACTATCATTAAAAGACGTAATTTAAGATATTTAATCATTATTAGTATTTAATTTTTTATTGTTATTTATAAATTCTTTATTTTGATTAAACAAATCTAATTTAATATATGATTTCCCAGAATAATTTTCTTATTTTTAATTAGTTATTTGTTTGTTTTAATTATTAATATTTTATTTATTTATTTCAACTTAAAAATTATCACAAATTTTTTTAATTTTTAAAATTTTCATTTTAAAAAATTATTTAATTTAAAATAAAATCACTATTTTTTTTTTTTAGTATTAATTTTTACTAATTATCTTATTTTTTTATTAATTCATTTATATTACTTAAAATTTAATGTTATTTTTGGATTTTATCTTCTATTTATTCATTATTAGCTAAATTAATGTTTGTTTATTGTACTTTTTTTTAATTAAGTATTTAACGCAATAAATTTTGTTATTTTTCAATTAAAAAAATAGGTTCTTTTATTAAATTTTAAATTTCTTCTTTTTTTTATTAAAATTAATTTTTTTCTTCAGATACATCTAAAGAAGATTTTTTTAGTAAATATTTGTTTAGTTTTTTCTTTTTTCTAATTTTTCTAACCTATTTGTTTTATAATTGTTTGCTGTTTCTTATATTTATATTTAACTTTATTCTTTTTCTCGATTTTTTTCTGTTTAAGTAATACTTATTTTTCTTGAAATTTAGCGAGAAACAAAATTTCGGTTACTAATTTATTGTGTTTTTACAAAACAGATCTAAGGCTCTTCTTCTTTATTTTATTTATCAATAATTGATTTGGATGCTTGAGAGTTTATAAAGTTTATTTTTCGTGTTTTATCTTAAAAATTAATATTTTATTAGAAAGTGTTTATTTCTGGATTTTATTTTTATTTTAATTTATCGAAAAATGTAAATCTTAGTGTATTTTTTGTTTTTTTACATTTAATAATTAATTTTTTGTTTTTATATTTTAGATAAAATCATATTTAAATCTTAGTTTCTAGGTATTTCTTTATATTTTATTATTTTATTTAGTTTTTGTTCGGTTTAAGTATTATTTATTTTATTAAAAATCATAGTTTTATAATAATTATCTTTCCTTCCAATATTATTTTTGCTAGTGAGTTTTTATTTTATTTTTTAAATTATTTTTGATTTATTATATTAATTTATTTTTATATTATAGAAAAAATATATTACTGATTATTAAAAGAAATATAGTTAAAAGATAAACAAAATGAATTAAAAAATTAAAACAATTTTATCTTTTATTTATGTTATTGATTTTAAAAATATAATTATTGAATATTTTTTTTATATCTATTTTAATATTTAGGTTTAATGTATATATTAAAATTTTTTTATACATTTATTAAAAAAAGAAATAGTTTTTTATTTTTAGTTATAAATTAAAAATTATATTTTAATATATATATTAAAAAAAAAAGAATAATTAGAGTTTTTTTATTTATTTTCAATAATACTTATTAATTATATTTATTATTATTTTATTTATTTATTTATTTATTTTGAAAAAAAATTATTTCAATTGACATTTTTAGCTAAGTTTTCTTCCATAATAATTAATGTTATTATTAATCTTAAATATTTATCTATTTCGTCTTCCGTAAAAAAATCTAAAACATCTCTATATTTATTTTATCCATATTTTTTTTCTAATTCATCTAATTCATTATATTTATTTAACTATTTTAATATTTTTTATTTTTATTTTTTTTTAAACAAAAAATATAAACAAAATACTTCAAGTTTCATTTTGTTATATGCTTTTTTAAATTTTTCTTCTCCCAAAGATTATTCAATTTTAAGAATAAGTTCCTTTTTATTTTTTATTATTTTTTTATTTTAAAAAAAAATACTTCTAAAGCACTATAACCAGAAACTAAAACATTTATAGATTATTCTTCATCTTGGTCAATCTATTTATTATAAATATTTTATTAATTTATATTATTATCATTTTAATTATTTTCTAATTCATTTGTATCATCGTCTCTTTCTTGTAAATCTTCTTAAGACTCACATGCCGTGGTGGCTTATTTATCATTTAAGTTATTCTATAAATTAGTTTTATTTTTTTAAATTATCTCTATATCCGAAAAACGAAAGACGTTATTATTATTTGTAAATTTTTAATTTAATTATAAATTATCTGCAGCATCCTATGCACCTGAAACCTAAATTAATATTTATATTTTAATATTTATATATCTTTATTTTATTTTTATTACTAAATGTTACAAATCTTTAATGAAATCGTCATAATTATTTACTTTACAATCTAATATAAAAGAAGATGTATTGTCATATTCATTTTTTTAATTAATTATATCTTTATTATTATTATCTAATAATTCTTCTCCTGGAAATTCTAATTTAGATTCATCTTATTCTATATGTTCACTAATAGTTAATAATTTTTTTTTATTTATTTATTATTAATCATTATCAGAAATGTTTTCCTAAAGTAAGATTTTACTATTATTTTCTATATTTTTGTCAGGATTTAAATTGTTTGTATTTTATTAGCCCTTGTATTCTTAATTCTAATCATCTATTTTTTATACTGAAGACTTTTTTTTTCCTTCATATATTTCTACTACCCATTCATTATTATTATTATTTTTTTAATTATTTGGAAGCAACCATTTCTTTTTTTCTTTCTTTTAATTATCTTGACTTTATGCTTATTAATTATTTTAATTTTGATTTTCTTAGTTTTTTTCTTATTAATCGGATTAAATATTTTCATCTTTTATATCATTTACTGAATGAAATTATTTAATTTACCATTTCTTAAATTTATAAATATATATAAATATATATATATATATATATATATATATATATATATATATATTTATATAATACTTTTCTTTCTCTATCACTTATAATTTTTTATCTTTGTTCTATAATCTATTTTTATTTTTCATCCCATTATTGTTATTTTTCAAGTTCTTTTTATTTTTATTTTTCTTCTTTTTCTTTTTTTTCTTATTATACTTTTATTCTTGACATTTTGATTTCTTCTAATTTTTATATTTTAGCTTTTTGTTATTCTTCTTTTCTTTATTATAGTATTATTTTTTCATTTTAATTATCTTTTGAAGTTTTTCTATTATCTCCAATTTTTTTTCTTATTTTTAAATAAAATTTGGCTATTATTATTTTTAAATAGCTTTTCCTCTAAAATTTGGATTTCCGAATACTCCTGCACCTCCAATTTAAACATCATCTTTTTTATTTGAAAAAGGTGGTTTTGTATTTTATTATGATGTTTAGTTTACTTATTATTATTATTAAAATTAAGGTTTTTATCTTTATTTTAATCTAAATACAAAAGATTTTTTAATTCTTTTTCTCTTTGTTAAATTTATTTATCTATTTCTTATATATATTTATCTTTTTTAAGTTTTTCTTTAATTTCTTTTTCTTTTTATAGAATATCAAGTGCTTATTTTTCATTTTGTGGTTTTTTTATATTATTTTGCTATTATATTTAATTTTTTTATTATTTATATATATTAATATGATTTGTAACAGGATTTATATTTTATTATTATTATTATTATTATTATTATTATTATTATTATTATTATTATTATTATTAAGATATAGATGGTTAATTATTATGTTTTTATTGATTATTTTAATTTTTATTTTATTAATTTTATAATTTTAATTATTCCAATATATGAGGTGGACATGGTTATTCATTATTTATAACTCGAAATTCTCCTGGTATAAATTTAGAATCTACTTACTTTACATATAAATTAATTTATATATATTTTTTTTAATATATACTTTATTATGTAAAATCGTATGAGAAAATTCTATTTATCTGACAGCTTCTGTTAAAAATTTTTTAACTCTTTCATTTATTGTTTGTATTTTTAAAATTTCTGTAATTGTTGGTCTTCTTTATGGATCAACTTATAAAAGTTAAGAAATTAAATTTTTTGTTTCTTTTGAAAATGATAAAGGTATAGGTGGATATTACCCTTTAACTATTTTTAAAGCTAAAAAATGTAATGATTCTGCATTAAAAGGTGGCCTTAAAGCACATAATTCATATAAAATAACCCCTAAAGACCATATATCAGTTTTAAATGAATAAGGTTTACTTTCAATTATTTCTGGTGATAAATAATAAGGAGTTCCAACCATTGTTTTTGCTTTATCTATTGTTTTAGTTAAAACTCTTGCTATACCAAAATCTCCTAATTTAATTAAATTATTTTTTGTTAAGAAAATATTTTATCCTTTTAAATCTCTATGTATAATTTTTCTATTTTGTTTATATATATAAATAAATATTCTTTTAAAAAAATAAAAGTTTTTTACCTATCATGTACATGCTTTAATGCTAAACATATTTATGTAAACCAGTCTATAATTTAATTTTCATTTAAATATTTTCCTTTTGATTCTTTTATTATTTTACCTATATCTCCTCCTATATATATTATTTATATATATTTTTTTATTTAATTTGTTTTAAAAAAGAACCATCCGCATATTCCATAATTATACATAATTTGCCTTTTTTAGTTGTATATACTTCTTTAAATTTGACTATATTAGGATGATTTAATGCTTATAATATTTTTGCCTCTTTTTATGTCTCTTTTTTTTCTTCTTGACTCATATTTTTTGTATCCATTTGCTTTTGGACTAATAATTCATGGGTTTGTAAATCTTCTACTAAGTATGCTTTTCCAAATGCTCCTTCGCCTAAAAGCTTTATTCTTTTATAAAGCTCGTATTCAGCGGCTTGATGTGATGGATTATTTTCATTCATATCGTTTGTTTTTATATTAATTTTTTTTTTTTTGATTATTTGTATTATTTTTTTATTGTTAATTTATTTTTATTTTGCAAATGAACTTTTTTATTTTAAATTTTTTTTTTAGATATATATAATTTTTTTTTAAAATATATATATATATTAAAAAAAAAAGGTAAAAAAATAAATAAAATTAAATTTCATAAAATAATTTTTTTATCATAATATTTCATAGTACAGAAATAATTAATATATGGAAATATTATGTATCAATTTTTTTTTAATTTTAATTAGCTTCATTATTACTTCTAAAAATAAAAATATTTGGATTAAAAACATTACTTTTTTTTACACAATAGACACTAAAAAACTAATAATTATCACTTTAAATATACTCTAAGTTTTATAAAACTTTTTTATTATTTTCAAAGTCATTTATTTTATGTAGATTAAAATGTATATTCATTTCATCATTTTTATATATAGTGCAAATAAAAATGTAGAATTCCTTTTAATTTTTACATATTAGAATACATTCCTATTATTTTATATTAATCTATTTTTTTAAGAAAAGTATTTCTTTATTATTAATTCCTTATGAAATATTTTTTTCAGTAAAGAAATTATATGTAAGTATATTATGAAAGCTTAGTTAAATATCTTTAAAAAAAAAATGATAAATTTAACAACAATAAGGATTTTTAAAACAATACATAATTTTTATATTACCGAAAAATTAAAATTAATAATGACTTTATATATTCTATTAATAATCCCAAATAATAATTTCGTTCTAATAAATATTATAAATAATAACCTCACTTGTATTTTAAACAGAAACAATTTAAATTTCATTTATTAATTCATCTATATCTTATCTTAATATATATTATTAAGTATGCTTATCTAAATTAAATATATGTAAATATAGCAAAATATAATAAGATTCTTCACATTAATTTTTCATATAAAAAATATTTTTTATAATTATTATATCTTTTTAACTTTATTCTAATATATATAATTCGTATTTTAAACAACTTTAAATTATCTCTTTTAAATTCAATATATCCCCATTATTATTTTAAGTGTATAAATAAGTGTTATATTAATTATTGCTTTTGGTTTGTTTCGAAAAAAGATTTACTAAAATTAAACATATAGCCCCATCTTTTTAGGAAATGCATTAAAATGCGATTTTGTCGTTTTAGAGAGAAATTACATTAGATATAAAATCGTAATTTATTAAATTTATTGTGTTTTTTTCGAGTATATTTTAATCTTGGATGTTATGTACTTCGTATTGTATTTAGCTTTTTGATTTATTGATTAGACATATTTAATCTTTACTTTCTAATGATAGTATAAAGTCTATTTATTCGAGTTCAGATGTTGTTATATATATTTCTTTTTATTCTATTTATACCATAATATATATTATTTTTTTATTTTATATTTTAATTTATAAAGTATTTTTTTGATAAGCATATATTTTTTAAAAAAATATATAAAATATTCAAAACGATATTAAAATTTAAACAAATTTAATATATATATATATAAGGAAAACTAAATTAAAAATAAAAAAATAAAAATATGAAATTTAATTTAAAAATTATATACCATATAGTTTAAAATATAGAAAAAAAATATATATATTAATAATATAAACAAATTAAATCAAGATAAATATTAATAATTAAATAAAAGAAAATAATTTTTTTTATATTAATATAAAAATATATTAAAAAAAATAAATATATATTAATATTTATATTATATAATATATATATTTAATTCATTTATATTTATATATATATGTTTATATTATTTTTTATATAATTTTTTTTTTATTTTTATATTATTTTATCTTATTTTTTTTTTTATTTAAAATTTTTTTTTAAAAAAAATAATTATAAATATCTATATCTTGGCTATTAATATTTTTATCTTCTAATTTTTTTTTTTTTTATTTTTTTTTTAATTCATAAATATTTTTAAAATTAAACATACTTTTTATATAATTTATTATTAATAAATGTTTTATATCTATAAAATTTTTTATTTATTTTTACAAAAATTATATTTATATATTTCTAATAATTTTTTTAATTAATTTATTATTATTAAACAAATATAAACTAAAGTTAAATTTATATTTAATCTTAAAAAAAATGAAATCGAAAGTAAAATCTAATAAATTAACAAATATTATAAATAAAAACAAATATTTATATAATTAAGTAAACTAATCCTTTAATGGATGAGAACTTGACTGCAAAGTAAAAACGAGAACAAGATTAACGAACAATATATATATCTAATTTAAATATTTCAGCATAAAAATAAGAAATAATAGACTAATTTAAATAAATAGGAAAAATAGAAAATATTTGGATTTAGGAAAAAAAGAATTATAAAAAACTAAATGTGCATATATAATATTTTCTTAAAAAGAAGAAGCTGAAACATCATTATAATATGATGGAATTATTTTTTAGAATTATGTTTTAAGGGTAGATAGAGCTTTAGAACAAATAGTAAGTAAAAAATAAAAATAAATATATTTTTTTTTTATTTTATTTTTTTTTTAAAAAAATAAAGAATGATTATTCAAGAACTGCTCTAATTTAAAAATTTAATGAAGAGGCAAAAGAAGAAGATTTTAGAGAGTTTTTTGAAGATTGTGGGATTATTTTATAAATAAAAATTTTAAAAAATACTAATAACTTTGTAGGAGATGGAATGGCTTATTTATTTTTCAAAGAAAAAAAAGGATTGGAAAATGCACTTTTAAAAAATGGAAAAAATTTTTTGGGAAAAAAAATTAGAATTTAAAGGGCTGAGGAAGAATTTTAGACTTAAAAATAAGGAGAAATTAATAATAAAGGAGATGATAAAATTATAAAAAAAAAAAAGAAAAGAAATCATGATATAATTCCTCTTAAAAAGTTTAATAGTTTAGCTAAAATAAATTTTAACTAAAATGAAAACGATGTAAAAAATTTCTATTTTCTATTTTTAATATTTTTTATTTTAGATTTTCGAATTCAAAAATGAACTTGCTATTGCGCCAAGAATTATTAGAAAAAAAATAAAAAAACTTAAAAGAAAAGTAATTATCATTAATTTTTAAAATAAAAATATATGTATTTAATTTTTTATTTTGTTTTTTTTTTTATAAAAAGGGTTTTTCTGAAAATTAATAATTCGTGAAAATTCAAAAATTAAAGAAAAGTAAAAAAGAAAGTAATGATAGAAACATTTTCAATAACAAATTTAGTTTGTAAGCTAGAAAAGTAACTTTTTTATTTAATTTCCTAAAAAAATAAATAAAATTAAACATAATATAGGAAAAAAGAGAAAAAAGGTCTATATTAAATAAAAAAAAGGGAAAAATAGAAATAAAGAAATGATAAAAAAGGCATTAATATAAATATTAAGTAAACATTTATAAATATAATATAAAAAAAATTAAATTAAATAATTAATAAAATTAATAATAGACACAAAAATAAAAAAAGTAATTTAAATTAAATAAAACAAATAATTTATGTTTATATATGATAATAATAATAGCAGTTTTTCACATTAATCTCTAAAAAAATAAAACAACAATAATAGACATTTTTTTTCAATGATCTTTTTTAGATTTTTTATAATTTTTGGTATATTACTTTCTCAACTCATTATCTTTTCTTTAAACTTATTCATAAAATTCTTTAATTCTTTAAGCTTCTTAAATTTTTCCTTATAAAAGTAACTATTTATCCTATCTAAAATTATGATCACTTTATAATTAACTTTTTAAGATTTTATTCATATAAGGTTTTTATTTTTAGAAATGCCAGTAATTAATATCATCGAAATTCAAAAAACCTAAATAGCTTCCAAAAATATTAGAAACTTAATTTTTTCCTACAAAAATTTAGCCTTATAAAAAATCTGAAGGTCTTCCTCGAATTTTTCCTATTTCAATTTTACAAAATATATTATTTTAAATATCCTAAAAAGTCAAATTCCCTAAACTTTCATGTTTCGTTTCACCAAAAAAGTCCCCGAAAATTACTCGTAGCCGGTTTAAAATTAAATAATTTGACCATCATTTAAAAATTTTACAAATCTTTTCCCCTTATTAATCACTTTTAAAGAATTCAGACCCGCAGAAGCCTCGAAATCAGCATTTCCCCAAGCCACATATAATCCGTTACCCCCTTTTACATAAAACTATGAAATAGGCGGGTGATGTGATATCTATTCAGCAAATAAATCCGTACCATCGCAATATTATCCTTCCAATGTTTCCCCTATAATCGGGTTGAGGGGTTTATAAAAAGTATTACAATAGGAAAAAGAGGATACACAAGCTGAGACAACTAACTTCATTCTTTCTAATGGATTATTTTATATAGAGGATGCTAAATTCATATAAAAAGGGTACTAACAAGTTGCTTATAAAACACATTCTAAAGCACTTTTAGGGATCATAGCTCTTATCGGGAATGAAATTGTAGTCAAATTGAAATTACCAGAAATAATTTTTTCCCAATTAATTATATTACTTCCTTTGAAACACTTCTTAATGTATTTACTAGAAATTTATCTTTGCAAATTTTACCGCCTGATTTATGAGCATCTTAGTCTCTCTCGTTTTCATTGATTTTTGTATATTTTTGGAAGAGTTATGAATAGTCTTCTATTTATGGAATTATTGTCGTATATTCGATTTTTGAAGGTTTTAATATGTTTGAGGCAGATTCTATTATTGGATAATATTCGTATTGCTTTTAAAGGGGTTTTTGAGGTTTTGCAAATAAAAATTAGTTAGGAGGTGTTTATGGGTTTGTTGGTGTCATTGAGGTGGTGTTTGTGGATGATGAATTTAATTCTAGTTGAATTTCAGTTTTAAATTCTTCTTAAGGAAAATCGTCTTGGTATTCGTCAATTGATGTTTTTTGTTTATTTGTAATTTTTGGACCAAAATTTAATGACATTTTAAAAATTTTTATTTTGTTATTTTTTTTCGTTTATTTTGTTTTGTTTTATTTTTTTAATATATATAAATTGATAAATGTTATTATTTTTATTATTTTAATAATCATTTTGATAAAAATATTATTTTATATTTCTTTTTTTTTTCCCTTTTTTTTCTAATAATTATTTATTTATTTTTCTTTTAGAAGTGAGTGTAATGATTAAAAATCTAGAATATTCAAATTTACATTATATAATTATTATTTTTTCTAAAAATTTCTTAGTTTAAATTTTATAATTAATATCAGTATTATTTTATTAAAATTTAAATTATATTTTTAAGTGCAATAAAAAATTTTATAATTAAAATATAATACAAATTAATATTAGAATATATTTAAAATGAATTATTGAATATTAATTCTTTATTATATTTTACTAATTTATGTTATCTATAATAAAAAATTAAGTTATTTTGCCATTTATATTTTGCTGATTATAATTTCATTTATAATAAATATATTATTTATTAGTAATATTATAGAATGGAATATAATAAAATAAAATAAATTAGTTATGCTTCGCTTTAAGTAAGAAAATAAAAAAGAAATAATTTTTAAGATTTTAAAATAAATTACTTAATATTTATTATGAGTAATTTTAAATTCAAGAAAATCATTTTTTTTATTAAAATATAGAAAAAAAAAAAATATTTAATAAATATATATAATAATTTATGATAAATTTTTTAATAGGCTTAATAAAATAATAGACATTAATATAAATTTTAAATTTAATATAAAAAAAAAATTATTTAGAATAACTAAAATTAGATATAAATGAAAATAAAATATTGTCTTATTTAATTACTTTTTAAATATATATGTAAAAATTTATTAAAAAAAAACCTTATACAAAATTAAATATAAATAAAATAGTTATATATTATATTAAAAAAAAAAAAAAATAAAAAAAAAAATAATAAAAAAAATATTTATTTTCCTAATAAAGATAGATAAAGTTATATAAATAAAGATATATATATAAATAATATATATAAATATTTTTTATATATGTAAATACATATATATATTATATATATATAAATTATATATATATATATATATATATATATATATATATATATATATATATCAATAAATCTACCCATTAATTAAAAAATTGAAAATGGATACATTAATCCAGTTACTTTTATAAGAAAGTCCTAAAACAAATGATTAAATTAATTAAATTCTTACTATATTATCATAACATACATTTTTTATTAAATACTAATTTTCCGAATTATAACTTAAACGTATTATTCCCAATTTAAGAATAAAAACTTATTTTCCAAACGAAATAGTATATAATTAATATAATTAAAAAAGATAACTATATATAATTCTTAAAGGAAGAGTATCTTTATATGTATAAAAAGATCCAAAATATTAAATTAATTTAGCCTAAACGACAATATTGGAATTGAAATAAAATTATTTAAAATGTGTAAAAGAGTTTATATAAAATGATAAATTCGGAGAAATTGGTCTTTTAACTTAAAAGTAACATGTATATGCAATTACTGAAGAATATTAAGTTAATAATTCTCCCAGAAATAATTAGAATGTATTTCTATTAATACTTAATTAAAAGATTTATAATTAATATATATTATAAAATGAGATTAAAAGGTACAAAATAGTTATTAATATGCATTTAAATGAGACTGTGTTAAAAATTTTAAATTATTTGTGTAGAAAAAGGAAGGTTTTTTACAAAAACTAGATTATTTAAGAAAATTAAGAGGTGGAAATTGTTTACATTATTAAAAGAGGAGAATTTGGAATCTATAAAAATTTAGGATTTAAAAATTTGAAGAAATTAAAAAGTGTTTGCAAAGGGGAGATATTAAATGATTTTGATTACTTTTTTAATAATTAAATTTCCTCTTTCTCATGTTTTTGTGAATCTTTAAACGGAGGAAGTGTATATGAAGTCTAAGGGGAGGTTTGGAGTTATTTATAAGGATTTTAGGAAGATTTAATTTAAAAAATAATGCAGAGAAAGGAGTAGTTTAACTAAAATATAAATAAAGTGAAAGAATAAATTAATAAATATATGAATTTTTTATAGTATGGGGGTAATTAAAATGAGAGTTTATTTTTTTAAGAAAGTAATTTTGATTAGTTTAATATTAAAGTTTAAAAATTAAAAGAAAAGAATATATTTTAGATAAAAAGTAATGAGTTGGAAAAAAAAAATGAGAATGCGTTCAATATTGCAAGAAATGTAAATTGTAGTTAATAAGATTATTTAAAATAATAAGTTAGAAATAGTGTATTTTTGAAAAATAATATAATAAATAATGAAAAATAAAACTTTTTTTTTATAAATAAAAATGAAAGAAAAAAAAAAATGTCTTATTTCTTTACTTTAAATTAAAAAAGTACATGAATAAATTATTTAGAAAAATAAAGAGTTTAATTCAAAATTTTTTAATAACAATAAATAATCAATATGTATTGTTTAAATAAATGCAAACTAAAAAAATGATTAATTTATTTAAAACTAAGAGTATGATACAAAAAATAATTCGATAGATTTAAATATTATATAGTAGGATAAAAATATATAAGAGGATTAAGAAATATCAAAAGATATAAATGATTAAAGTTTTAGAAGTATATATTAAGATTAATAAGAATAAAATAGATAATTTATAAAAAATAAAAAATAAATAAATAAATAAAAATAAAAATATAAAAATAAAAATAATAATAATAATAATATTAATAAAAATAATAATAATAATAAAAATAATAATATATATGTAAAAAATAACTAAGAATAAATTTAAAACTTATTAATTAATGATATTATTTTGTAAAATTATTAATTTAATTTTATTCCTTTATAAAAATCTTTATAAATCCCATAAAAAATTGATTTTTAATAATAATTATAAAAACATAATGATTTTTTACATGTTAAAGACTAAGATTCTACTCTTTTTTTTTAACATTAATAATAATAAAATTAACAATTAAAAATTAGTAATTCTACAAACAAAAGAGTTTATTTTTAATTATTTAAAAACAGACAAAGTATTCCTAATATATCTAATAAAAAATAATAAAGTGTTCCTTTTTTCGATTTTTATCAGAAATAGTTTAAATCTAATTTAAGAATGCTTTATTTCGGAAAATTCTAATAAAAGTTTTGTCTTAAATCTGGTTTAAATAATATTTAATAAAGATTATCTAATTAAGTTTAAAATAAAAATATTTAAGTTTTTTTAAGGGAAAATAAAGGTATTATACCCAAATAAAATAATAAAAATAATTAAGAATTATATTAACCAAGAAAAAGTAGTTAAAATTAATTAATAGAATAAAGGAAGTAAAATTCTCTCTAA